CAGTGTTAGGAAAATGAAGTATCTTTGGGTATAGCTGGCTGGAGGGAAGAAAAAAAATAGTTTTGTGTCCCGGCCCTTTTGCTACTGTGGTGATGCTCAGTCATCTACAGAAATGCACAGCCGATCCAGAGAATCCCTGATTGAAACACGCCCTGTGTCCCCTTTCCCTCCCCCACCCCCACCCCTTCGCCCTTCTTTTCATTGAGGACACAGCAAGACCTGAAGAAAGGCTACATGGACAGCAAGATCCTCCCAAAGGGAACCTTGCCAGCACAGAATCTCCCGTCCTCGGCTGCCGTCCGGGCGGTCGCAAAAGTGCGTTCCTCGAGGCGAGGTCACCGGTGAGACTCCAAGCCGAGAGGCGCCGCTGGAAGGCCGGAGAACGCCAGACCAGCCCTTCCTGGGTTTCCAGCTCAGAGGGACCAACTGGTGGAGGGCTCGACGCTGGGGGTGCCCCTGGAGGAGGTAGGGCTTGGGGAGCAGTGGGAGGAGCTGCTGCTACCGCCACCGGTGCTCTGCGTGCTGGATCCGGCAATGAGGTGGACAACAGGCTTCTGGGCAAACAGGACCCCTGTAGGGCAGGAACAGGCAAAGAAAATTAGGAAGCCAAAAAAAAAAGGGGGGGGGACAAAAGGAGGTCCTCTGGGAAAAAATGGACCTCCTCAAGACAGACCATGAGAAAATTAACAGCCAAATAGTATCTAAACTACTCCAGGTGGAGTTATTTGGAATCATTTTTCCACCAGAGCTCAGTAATTCTGCAGCCTGGCAGCCAGATGGAAAGGGAGACAGTGAAGGTAAGAGACCTCTTTTTCTGCTTTGTTTGGCCCAGTTGTGATCTGGTTCCATTTTGGACTCTGTTAGGACTTTGAATTTATATTTCTATTTTAAAATTTTATTAAACAAAAAACAAAACACGTAACAACCATTCCTCTCCCCCCACCAAGCCCCATTCCCCTTCCAAAACTGCATTGACTCTTGCAAATGTATATGTTCCTTCCCCTTCATTAATACATCATCAATGAATTCTCCCCATATATCTATAAGTAAGATATATATCTATATCTTACTTATCAACCACTTTTCAAGTTTAATATTACATGTTAACTTGTCATTAACAGCTATATCCAAAACTTCTCTATAGCATAATTTAACTGAAAATTATACATTGATTTCTAATTCCTAGCTAGAGTTAATCTTGACACCGTTAATAAATTAGAAATTAAGTCTTTAGTTATCCAATTACATGGCTCCCTATCCAATATTGATAAAAGTGCTATTTTAAGATATAACTCTAAACTTAATTTTATTTCATTTACTTCCTCAAAGATTAATTGACAAAAATTTCAATATATTCTCACCACATATCAAAATAAGTACCCACAGCTAGAGTTAATCTTGACACCGTTAATAAATTAGAAATTAAGTCTTTAGTTATCCAATTACATGGCTCCCTATCCAATATTGATAAAAGTGCTATTTTAAGATATAACTCTAAACTTAATTTTATTTCATTTACTTCCTCAAAGATTAATTGACAAAAATTTCAATATATTCTCACCACATATCAAAATAAGTACCCACTTTCTAACCACCTTTCCAACACAACCTGGAATAATTAATATCTATTTTATTTAATCTCACTAGTTAAATATCATATCCAAACTACCCTGTAAACATTTTCCATTATCTTCAGACACAGATTTCAATATTCTTCTACCCATATATTTTCCCAAACCCAGTACTTATTTCTGATCACAGATAGTAATCCCATAATGTTCTGAGCAAATCTGCTTCCAGCAATATTTTGTAAATTTTACTTACTGTCCCTTTCATTACCTTATTTTCACCTGTGCTCTCTTTTTGTAATGCCACTACTTCAAAATTCATGATTTCCCTACATTTGCCATTTCTTTTTACCCAATCCTAATACTTCTTTTATTTGCTCTTTACTTCCCATTTTTTCTATCCAATATTTTACCCTAACTTGTGTCTTTATCAATACATTCTTGATCCTTCTTTTCAGGTTTCCTGAATTTCTCCAACTCTACCACTGGATACAGTGGAGAAACTGATAGGTTAAGTATTTTTCTTATTCTAAATTAAAAACATATTTTAAAGGATTTTCAGTATTTTTACTATATGATATAAAAATAATGTTTTCAAGTGCTCATATATAATTCTTCTGTTTCCCTATTAAAGCGTATTAGTTTAATAGATGGAAATATAATATCAAGCATATGTATTATTTGATTGGCTATATAATATAACCAGAAACATAAATACAGCCCTTCTACTTTTTGAAAATTATACTATCTTGTTATTAATTGATTTTTATCTCCATTATAAAATTTATTAATCATATTTTGCCAGTCTTTAAACTCTTCTTCAGTTTTCTTATCAGTGACATCATAAATAAAAAAAATTCTTGGGCAAAAACATAATTTTACATACTGCTGTTCCACCAACGCATGAAAGTCGAATTTTCTTAAAAACATCTAACTTAATTTTTATTTATTTCTTCAGTTTTTAAAAATTTTCTTCTTTTGATCTTTCTAAATTTGCTGGAATATTTATACCTAACTACTCCATAGAGTTTTGAATATTAATATCAAATTCTTTTCTAGTTATTTCTATTTCATCTTTATTATAATTAAACATTACCACCTTGGATATATGCCAATTTATCTAACGCTGTTATCTCTCCAAATTCTTTGAAATACGACTTTACCCTATCCATAACCATTAATGGGTTTTCTCTTGTTAATAAAGTGTCATCAGCAAATAAACTAATTTATTTATCTTCTCTAATGACATTTGCTAACAATTCTATAACTAAAAAAAGCAATACTGGGGAAAGAGGACATCCTTGTCTAGTAACCACGGCCTAGGAGATACCACTTTGCATGGGACAGAGGGAAAATTAGAACATTTCATTGTCCTCCTTTGGACAAGTTACTTTCCTAGACTGCAACTCTCAGAAAGCCCAGCATGGCTTGGGAGGATTCTCAAAAGAAATACAAAAATGTACTGTTGGGAGAGAGACACATGAAAAGTGTGGATGAATGTTTGTGCAGCCATGTAAGAAATTTGTAAAGGGATACAGAAAAAGGACAAGTCAAACCTAAGACTGGAAAAACAAGAAAATAAACAGAAACATGAACTTGACAGACTCTATATTCCCTATTCTGGGCACTCGAGAAGTGTTGAAGTGGGAGATTACTTTCTTTGTGCTACTGCTCCCTTCAGAGCAGAGCATGGGAATGCGCCTGGAGACTCTGCTGCCTATCTTGGCAATGACGTCTGTCTCCTTATGTTGAATATCTAATGCAATATCCTTACGTATATTTAATGGCTGAAGTCTTATTGCTTAGCCTAGTGATTTGCAATTACAGTAAGTCTATTGAATCAGTGGGGCTTTGGTTGAGTCCTCTGTAAATTCCACTGATTCAGGGATCAGCTTACCTCGGCTAAGCTACAGAACTTCCACCAGTATGTGATGCAAATTTCACATCATCTTCATATTCATAGTTATGAGGCCAGCTCATCACCTGGTGGCCAGCCATTTTGGTAAGGGGCCTGTCCTGTCTCCATTTAGCTAGACTGGCTTTCAGAAATGCAGTCCCCCCCCCCCCGTGATCATATCCAAAAGCAGAGAGATACCTTTCTATCTGACCATCTACAAATTCCTTCTGCGCATCTGAGTGCTTCCTAATTTTGAAAAATCACTGAAATATTGGCAGCCTTTAGCGTGCATGCCAGATGTGGAGAAGGAATTTGAGTGGGAATTCAATGGTCAAAACAAAAGGGATGGCTTAAATTTTTCTGCCTGCTAGATTTTCAGGGATACCACCAAGCTCAAACCCCTCCCTGATATGCAGAAGGAGTTACTCTCTCACCGGCATAGATTGTGCCATTGATCTCCACTGACATATTAATGCTCCCAAAGCCAGATGGGGTCCAGTTCAATGCTGCCGCAGTTGCTGCCGAATCTGATTTATCCTCTGGTTGTGGGGGTTGGGGGAGAGAGAAAAAAAGACTAGAGTGAGTTAGAGTATGCTTGTTCCATTCCTTTGTGTTCCCTGAGATAGCAGCTCAGCTTGAAAATGCCTCTCCTGCCCCCTATTCCTTGGCTGATCCATTTTTTTTTGCCTCAGTCCACAAATTTAAAATCTCAGAGAAATTAATCATAGGCCAAAATTCTGTTGCTTAGTCTAGTAAAATGCACTAGAGCACGCCCATTGAATCAATGGGGATTTAGTGATTTAACTCCAACTTACTATGCTAAAGTAAGTCACAATTAGAGTAGGCCTATATGAAAGAATGAAAATTAGAGATGACCCACCAAATTCCCACTGATTCAATGGACCTTCTCTAGTGCAATCTACCACACCAAGCAACAGGTTTTTAACCACGGAATGGTATATTTGAAAGGGGCTGCTAGAGTATCCAATTCAACCATTGACAATGCACGAAATTATCGAATGCTACAGTGCCTGCAGAGTGGTGCTGAGGAAGCAAAAAGCTTCCAGCTGTTGGATGTCATTCATAGTGGATTTAAAAAACAGTAGTGGTCCAGGTTTTGTTTCGGGTCTAAAGCACCATATGATACAGAGACTGTAAAGCAGGTGGATTTTGCCCCTCCACACATACCAACCATACATGCCTTTAAGCCAGAAAGATAGCCTCTGAATCCACAGGGGTCCATCAGATTAGTGAATGGCCACAACAGATTCTATCTGAAGCAGTGGTGTCTGCATCTTCTTCACCTCTTGCCCAACTGGCAGACAGACCATCAGCCCCAAAGTGAAATCTACTTGTCTCTTGAGACTTCTGATGCTAGTGCTATACCAGTGTAGTTTGCTGGGCTAGCGCTGCAGGCAGCTCAGCTCCATCCTGTTTGATTGAAAGAGGGTCAGGAGCAAGGTATGAGGAAGAAGATAAGAAGCTGCTTTCTACCACGTCAGGTACTTGGCCCACCTAGGCCAGTACTGTCAACTCTGGCTGGCAGCAATGCCTCTCCAGATTTCAGGCAAGGTTCTTTCTTAGTCCTACCTAACGATTCTTAATAAACCTTGTCATCTTTCATTGAAGTCCTAACAGAGCATAACCTCTGTATATAAGGAGAGCCACACTATCCGTTCAGGTGGGTAGCAGGTGATTCAGGAGGCCCAAATGAGGCCCAAAGTCTGTCGTTTTTGCCTATGCCTTATCCCTTCTTGGTGCTAATATTGGATAAGGCAGGTCCTGGACTGGGGACAATTTGCCCTGCTCTCTAGCCAACGAAAGGTGAAAAAGCAGATGACAACAAAGCAAGACCACAACTCACCTCGGCCATTGATTTTGATCTTCATGGGCAGCTGCCGTGCCATGCTGAAGAGGTTCCGCTGAAAAGCCTGTTGGACAAACCGCTGCTCTTCCTCGGTCATGCGGGCAATCTTTTCTGCCGGCTCACCAGATTCTAGCCTCTCCCTCAGCTGCTCCAGGGTGGCCGTTCTGGCTGCTGCTATGGTGGCCTGTTGATTAGCCAAGGACACAGGCATGGCAATGCGATTTGGCGTGGACACACTCAAAGGGATGCTGTCACCTGGAAAAACAAGTGGGTAGATCAGACCCCCAGCAAGGCACTCTCCTTGCAAAGAGGAGCTATTGCAACAGTTAAGGCTTTCATGGGCGGGATCTAATGGTTGTTGTGGGCTTTTCGGGCTCTTTGGCCGTGTTCTGAAGGTTGTTCTTCCTAATGTTTCGCCAGTCTCTGTGGCCAGCATCTTCAGAGGACAGCATCTTCAGAGGATAGCCAAAGCACAGAGTGCTGTCCTCGGAAGAGGCCGGCCACAGAGACTGGTGAAACGTTAGGAAGAACAACCTTCAGAACACGGCCAAAGAGCCCGAAAAACCCACAACAGCCAGTTAAAACTATCGTGAATTAAAAAGCAGCACACAAAGAGCACACATCGTTGCTGTTTACGTCAACGAAGAGAGCAGATCCTTCAATCATGGCAGGGATACCAAAACTATCCTTGATTAGCCAACCAAGAAGTCTTGGGGGAAACTGGCCAAAGCATATAGCCCAGTACCCTATTATCATGAGTCCCAAACAGAGCAGATACACTGACTCAGACACTGAGTGGTCGGCAACAAGACATGGGCCATGGAACTTAAGAGAATAAGGAGAGCCCTACTGAGAGTAAAGGCCTCTCTCGTCCAACCCTCTGTCCACACCGCAGCCAATCAGTTGCCTCCACGAATCCCACACACAGGGCAGGAGCACAGACTGCATCCTTCACCTTCTGTTCCCTAGAAGGTAGCACCAGAAGCATACGGTCTTTGATACCAGAGGTAATCATGAGCCATTGTGACTAGCAACTTTTGCCTGGTGGCTTCTTTCTTTAGAAAAAAAAACATTAAAAAAACCTGTAGCACTGAAGGCGTACTATAACAGTATTATAAAAACTGTGCACGCATGGTGTGAAGACATCCTGTGTATTTATGATGTTTATATACTGCAATTTAGGCAAACAGATCCCAGTGTGGTTTAATATGAGGCTCCAATAAAATATCAAAATGGGCAAAACAAAAAGAATTTTCCAAATTCACCACAACTCTCTAATCAACTTAGACAGCAGGATGACTAACCCAATTATAGTGTTTAAAACACAGCTCCCTTTCAGGCCTTAAGCATTCATTTCATCTAGCAGGTCTGAGATTTTTGTTTTTTAAAGTCTCAATCTAGTGCCAAGGAAGTAGTAACACAAGTGTTGGGCCCCTTCTCTAATTTCATAAAGAAATAAGCTTCAGCTTAATTTCTTATGGTGATAGGAACTCAGAGCTTATGAAAGCGCGCGCGTGCGTGCACGCGTGCACACCTAGCATTCCCAGACCTCCCCAACCAAAGCATCCCCTTCCCCTAAGCTCTGGCAGATGCTGGTTGAAACAGGAGAAGAAAGTCCTTAAAGGCATCTGGATGAACAGCAGTTAGGAGGTAGCATAAACAGAGAAGAGAAAGGGAAGCAGAAAGCAAGAGCGGTGGGGTGGGTGGAAAATAAGTTGATTCTGATCAACAGAAAAAAAAAGAGACCGCAAGTACAGCCGAGAGCGACTGAATTTTTTTTTTTTTGGAGCACCTAAGAAATGGGTTGCCCCTCTACTTGACAGCACAACAATTCCTATACAGTGGGGTCTTGACTTGAGAACTTAATCCGTATTGGAAGGCGGTTCTCAAGTCAAAAAGTTCTCAAGTCAAATCTGCATTTCCCATAGGAATGCATTGACAACCATTTGATCCGTATCTGCTCTTTTCTGACCATAGAAACTAATGGGAAGCTGCTATTCCGCCTTCGACCACTAGAGGGGGATATTTTGTTTCTTTTTTTCTTAGGTCAAGAAAGGTTCAGGGAAGCGAGGGAAAATACAGTCCAGGCAGTACCAGGCAGTCTGAAGACTGTCTCCCAATCTACTCTCTAAACGCTGGGAGGAGTGAGGAAGCAGACAGGCACCCTTTTCACTAGCCAACAGTTAACTGAAAGTTCACTTTTTGCACTTTCCCTGCCTTCCACGTGGGTTTTTTTCAGTTCTTAACTCAAATCTAAGTACTTAAGTCAAGTCAATATTTTCCTGAGAGAGCGGTTCTTAAGTCAAAATGTTCTTAACTCAAGCCGTTCTTAAGTCAAGACCCCACTGTACCACGTTGCAAACTTGGCAATGATTTAGGTATATAACTTTGTCACAAGGCTTGACAAGCATTAAATTCAGAATGTGAGAGGCTGGAGTGTTTGTTTTTTTGGTCCAGTCTCTGCAGCAGCCTAGTGCCTACTGGGTGATACCCGTCTGCCAACGCTCAATCCACCTAATCTTTCCCAAAGTCAGCACCTGGCTGCATACATTACAATCCAGGTAGCCGGGCTGACCTTTCCTGAGAGCACCTGCTGGAGACAGGTGAGTGTTTGTGGTTCCGCTGCTGGGGGTGAGGCTAACGATGGGGAAGCGGATCTTTGGAGGACACAGAAGAGAAGGAGGTCCTGTTGCAGCAGGCGAGTAACTGAACAAGGAGGAGCTGTAACTGGGCCGCCGGCCCTCCCTCCTGTTGCCGTCAATGGCTGCCTGCAGCTCAGCAGGAGAACTTAGGGACTTCTTCTCACATTCATAGGCATAGAGGTACTTCATATACCTGGTGGGGAGAAGAAAGAAAACAGAGGCAAAGACGTCACTTGACATATATACCTGGTGGGGAGAAGAAAGAAAACAAACAGAGGCAAAGACGTCACTTGACAGGGTTCTGCATTTGAAAACAGAAGGGGTACATTCTAAACCAAGAACCATCACAGAATTAAGTAAATATTACACAACACCATGGTTAATGCTACCTCTAGTTAAAAAACTGCATCATGGTTGGAAATTACAGGCATACAGCAGAGGGTGGTTTAGAACTGTTTGTTGTTTTCGTTTTCCACCTCACTTTTCTAAGTTCACTCCTGTCTCCCTGGTGCAGCAGCCACCTGAGGCACAGCAACATCCCTAAACAGTGTCTTGACACTAATACATAAATCAAAGCTATGATTCACAAGCTGTGATTTACAAACCAGCTTCAATGCATTCTTCAATAACCTGGTTTGGCAATTACTCACAGATGTCGCTTTGTAAGCTTCCCTAAGTTCAGATGTAATGTCAAGCCACCGTTTGGCACTGTCTGAATGCAACCACAGTTTACTAATCAAGAGAGAACAAAAACAAATATGTATGAAAAAATGCTATTAAAGAAAAGCAGATGGCAACGCGAAGGGAAGGAAATTGGTACAGTATAATGCATTAACAGCCCAATCAACTACCAGATCGAAGTGTAACCTGACTCAATTCATGTATCTGACTTAAATAAATGAAATAAATCTGTTAATCTTAACAGTACCGTGGTTTTGTTTTTGCTTTTTCATTAGATGGTAGAACAGACTAAGCATGGCTGATTATTTCAAAATAAAAAAGTAGTTGAACAAATGCTCTATTTAAAAAGCTGAATATGAACAGGTATGTAGATATATCAAATTATTTTGTACACCAAATGTAGAAAGGGCTGGATTTATACCTTATTCATCAAAATGGAACTTATATGAGCCTCAGGTTTTTCTATTCCCTACAATTCTACCAGCACAGCAACTGGAAGATTTTGTATCTTCCTATCTTCCTTCCTTCCTCCTTTAAACTGCAATTTTAAACCATTAAAGCACAGTTACAACTGTGGTCAATCTTAACTATGGTTGGTTGAAAGAAGTCCACCTCTCAAGCCATGCTTTGGAGTTAGCTTGATGATAATAAGACACAATTAAGCTTAAAAACTGTCAGGTTTCAATAAAATTCCTAAAAGAGGCTAATAAAAGACACAATAGGTCATCTTTCTAAATGATGCACATTCAAGACTGGACAGTGCTTGAGTGGGAGAATGCTCCAATGAATTGCCATGTATTCTATAAGTGATTATTTAATGTGATATATTAGAAAAGAAAGAAGAAAAAGAAGGCAAAGGTACATCTTGTTATTGGCTACCTCTGCCTCAGCAATGTTTATTTCTCACACACACACTCAGTTCCAGTTTGCAGTATGCAGAGAGGTGTACACCTTAGATTGTGGAAGACTTCAGGACTTACTGGGTGCGAAGTGTAAATGCAGCACTGGTGATGGAAGTGGGCAGGTTAAGGCCTTTGGTGATCTCCCTCCAGATTTTTTTGTTGATGATTTCCACCAGCCCTCCTTTCTCCGTCACCAGCTTGTACAGCATGTAGAGGTCAAGGATCTGCTTTGCCATAATGGGGATACGGTTGATTGGTGTTCCTGAAGCCAAGTGCAAGACAAAACAAGCAAACAAACAAAATCACACGCAAGAAGTTAAAAACACACACAAAGTCAAAACCACAATAAGGCTGCAACTGGGCCATACACCTAGAACCGCCTCTCTTAACACCTTTGTGATGTGACAGATTCTTTCTTTTCAAAACCTTCCCCAGAGTCTACCTTTCTCATAAAGCCTCTGCCCCATTCTAAGGCTGAACGACAGGCACCATCTTCCTGTTCTTTCTTCCTTTGGTTGCCTTCCTTGTGCTGAGATATATTACTACTCAGTAACCCGTTATTTTGCTGTTATAGTAAAATAGCATGCTTTAGCCTAGAATTGCATGCATGCCACTGGCCATGGCTGTAAAATATAAGATTACCTTTCCTCAAAGGAAAACAGGGTTCTAATTCTTACAGAAGCCGACCTAAGAACCCTGGGTTTCTTAAATTGTGGCTGAAGAGCACAACAAAAGCCGATGTTCTGTTCCTGGCATACCTTTCCCCTCAAGGCAGCTTCCCCCAATGCTCCCCAAATCAATCAAACAAAGAGCCCTACACCTAGGCAACAGCTTCAGAAAAATACAGTGGTGCCTCGCTTAACGGGCACCCCATTTAACAACGAATCTGCATAGCGATGAAGATTTTGCGATTGCAAAAGCGATCGCATTGCGATGTTTTTAATGGGAAAAAATCGCTTTGTGACGATCGGTTCACTGTTTCGCTTACCATTATCGCATAGCGATGATTTTCCAACAGCTGATCGGCGGTTCCAAAATGGCCGCTGGGTAAAAAAATGCTCACCCGCTGTGTTTTCGCCCGGATTCCTCGCTTACCGGGCAGCGAAAATGGCCGCCATATGGAGGATTTTTGCTTTAAGGTGAGTCTGAAGCCCATAGGAACGCATTAAACGGGTTTTAATGCATTCCTATGAGCTTTTTATTTTCACATATCGACAAAATCGCTTTGCAGCGATTTTTGCTGCACGGATTATCACTGTAAAACCACTGTAAAAGACAGTCATCGCTATGCGGGGCACCACTGTAAAAGACAGTGGGTTTGGGACCCAGATCTGTGGCAGAAATGTGCAGACGTCATTACATTCAGAGTAGTGCAGTTAGGGTTTGGGCTGAAGAGTATGAATCTCCTTTTTAAAAAAACACAGCTCCTAGGATAGTGTAGACAGCATGGCCAGGACTCTCAGACAGATGGGTTGTGTAATCCTAGATCTTACACTCTCCACCTAGTCTGAGGAGCTTTCCTACCTAAAGACTTTCAAGATTCCCAGAACTAACCTGGTGCCATCTACAGAACTGCTGGAGGTGGCTACATTTTCAGGGGCAAAGCTTCAACATGTCAATATTTTGGATTACAACTCCCATCACCCACTGGCCATGCAAGTTGAAGGATTATGGAAGTTGCTGTCCAAAGAAAATCATTTTTCCAAGCTCTGGTCCCATGACTTCCAACCAACTTGAGTTGACTTTTCTTACCTCTGCAGCCTTTCTGTTTTAACATTAAATCTGTAACTCAGAGGATGATAAACTGGTGTGTGTGTGTGTGTGTGTGTGTGTGTGTGTGTGTGAGAGAGAGAGAGAGAGAGAGAGAGAGAGAGAGAGAGAGAGAGAGAGCCACTCCTATCCATCTATCCATCTCTTCAGCAAAGTGGTGCTAATTTCTTGATTCTGTCTGATTGCTGTAGTCATGACAGTATCATGATCTAAGCAGGTTTAAAATAGGCTATCAGGACTGCAAAGTTTCTTTCTTTGCTCTAATATGTCAGGAATTTAGAAACAATTGTAAAACCTTGTATAGGAGGCCTGGGTGGAATACTGAGAAAACAATAGCAGCATGCTCCAGACTGAAGTACACATGGTAATCAAAACACATGCCCCCCCCCAGTAAAATTATTAAATCCATCATTTAAAAGTATCTAGCTGCATTATGACATGGTAATCAAAACACATGCAAACCGCAGAAGCCTGTGCTACAGGGTCAGAAGACCAAGCAGTCGTAAGATCGAATGCACGCGACGGAGTGAGCTCCCGTCGCTTGCCCCAGCTCCCGCCAACCTAGCGGTTCGAAAGCATACAAATGCAAGTAGATAAATAGGGACCACCTCGGTGGGAAGGTAACAGCGTTCCGTGTCTAAGTCACACTGGCCACGTGACATGGAAGATTGTCTTCGGACAAAACGCTGGCTCTATGGCTTGGAAATGGGGATGAGCACCGCCCCCTAGAGTCGAACACAACTGGACAAAAATTGCCAAGGGGAACCTTTACCTTTACCTAGCTGCATTATTGGGCATTAAAAAGTAGTCAGCTTGATCTCTACAAGATTTCTACACAATCTTGAGCACACTTTAATATTCTTTATAAGCACCCTACAATTAAAGTTGCTGCAATTTCCTTCTAACCAAGGTAGGAAGGAGGTAACTTCCTGCTTCTCATCCCCTTGGAGAGGAGTGGCTTTTCTCACATTGAAACCCATGCCGCTCTTGAAATCGACATGTTTGTTTGCACATAAGTTTTTATTTTCATGAGCCAAGCAGACCTCAAACTGCAATGCATGGGGTAACATCACGGCGACAACATTTCAATTTCAAAACTGTTTTTCTCTAAAATGAAGAACTAAATGGGAAAAGCCTTCATATTGAGAAACACATGAGAAGTATGTGGATGGGGGGGGGGAGAGACTGTTCACCTCACTTCTGGTCTTTTTTCTATGCTCCTTGGGTGCAGATTGTTAAAGCTATAGTTCAAAGAGGCAACGGTTCCAACCTCGGCTGGCAATAAAGACAGCTACAGGCCTTCGCCTGAAAGGCGTGTTAAGAATCAGGAGTTTTACAGCACACCAGCTATCGCCATGTGAGAAAGTTCTTTTGAAGTCTGGCCATAATGTTGATTTCATGACTGTTCCAATCTCCAGCAGTCAAAGAAATGTGTTTATCATCCCATGAAGGGCAGCATCCTGGCTGCCATGCAGCCTCAGGTTTTTTATGTTTTTGGCAGCTGTGGCTCAATTTCCCTCTCTGTTCAACTGAACCTTCCATTGGCCAAACTCATAAATCCATTCTCCTTAAGTCCCCCATAATGTTTCAAAGAGGAAAAGAACAAGCTCAATATTCTTTAAGCTTGTGAAGACAATGCACGGGGCCATGTTGTCATGAAGGAAAGAAGCTGGCTCTATATGTTGAAGAACACAACAAAACTTAGAGCTGTGTTTTTGTTTTAAATTCACAGGCACTGAAATAATGCATAAATAATAAGAGAAAAACAACAAACCAATCAAGCTACAGAGAGAGAGAGAAAAAAGAGGGAGGAACAGTCTTGCTTAAGATTTAACAGATTTATTTTAACATTTTTCTGGGCTCACTGTCTGCCTTTTCATATGCAAGGAATACAGTACTCAGCCCACAAGCACAGTAGTCATGGTTATGGGGGATTGGATATGAGTGAAACAAGACGCAGAGAACTACAACTGTATGATTAACAGCCCCATCATGATAACCACTGTGCATATAAATCTATGACTTTGATCTGTGGCTTTTAAAGTTTGGCCATAATGTTGGTGAAACAGATAGCAATCCACAGCAACTCTTGCTAAGAGAGTTCTGTTAAAGTGCTGTAAGATTTTTTTTTTTGTTATACTGAACTGGACTAAAATGGATATAGTTTTAAGAGTACAAACTCTCCTGCCAGCTCCTATCTCAAGCACAGCCTATATACCCCAAGCCACAGCTGAACCAAAATACATTTCCTGAATTCATGTCACTGTAACAGAAGAATCTGAACTCAAGAAGCTTGTAAGAGAGTTAGTACAACAACTCCTGTATCTGTAACAGCAACTAGGGATGGAGAGAGGAATGGGACAGAAGGGTTGAAAGCAAGCTTTGGAAGGCAGAGAAAAGGTTTAGCCATATTCTGGTGATCTTATTAGTTATAAAGGGGAATAAAGACACTGGAACACAATTTGTACCATTAGCAGATTCTGTGACACGTAATGTCTGAAACAAACCCAAATACTATTTGAAATTACCTAAATGAACAGTGACCATCTGTATGTTCAACGCAGTTGCCTTCACATAGGGTAGGAAGCAAACACAAGCATACAAACAAATCTGATCTGAGAGATTACTTCAATTTTTATCTATCTCAAAGCTTAAGAGCTTATATAGTTAACTTCTTTTCCAGCAGTGTCACTTAAAGTACTCTACCGGTTTAGAGCGCTGTGTTTAAATAATCTAGCCAACGAAATCTTAGAAATATATGCACAGGGCAAAATAGGAAATGCCACAGAGGGCACATCCTATATAAAGGCTGGTTTGACAGGAAAGGATGAAAAATCCCCAACCAAACATGACAAACACTGCCCACGGAACAGATTTCCTGTAAACTGCAATACCGCTCCAAAGCAGAAAACAATCATAACCCTTAATACTCTCTGCTGCAACCAGGATAAGAAAATTCCCACTTTTTTTCCCTTGAATATTCTTTTGTGCTCCCCATATTCTTAATGCCAAACAGCCTGTCACATTCTCATGATGTTCTATTTAAAAGCATCCCTTACCAGAGTTTTGAAATTTCCTCCTCTAAAGTAATAGAATATTCTTATAGGCTCAGAAGAGGAGTTGAACCAACCCAGTATTCCAGCCTTAAACAGTGGCCAAATCCAGATGTTTCCTCTTGCATTTGTCTACTGTCTGTATGTAAGAGCATGTCTACTGACCAGATATTCGGTCAGACGACATAGCCAAGTAGCCCAGAACCTTGATTACTGTACATAGAGGCCACGCAGAAGCCTCTGGGAAGCTCGCAGGCAGGGTGTGGCTAGCAGCTCCAGTCCACCCTTTTAAGTCCGGTGTCTCATTTGTCTCCAGCATTCTGTGAGCTTTCCACAACCACTGAGCACACTCAGTCCTAACTAGGCTGTTTTGGATCATCTTCCCCCAACTGGCTTAAAGGCAGTGGTTCCCAAACTTGGGTGGTCCAGGTGTTCTTGC